GACGTAGGTCAGAAGGCATTTTTGCTCTGGCCTGGGCCGGCCCCTGGCCTGAGGCTTCTGGTGTGGACATTGAGCCACGGACGGAGCTGGAAGGTCACCTGCGTCATCAGGCCGGGGCCAGCCTTCTTGGAAGGGGGTGGTGTCATCAAGTGATGTGGCCCAGGGGCAAAGCCCAGCCCGCTCTGCCCGATCTGGCGGTCCCTGCTCCCGCCACCTCCCAGGTGGTGACACCCGGCACAGCTGGCTCACGGAGGAGTCCCAGATGGTCAGCCCCACGTCCATGCTGACCGTGTCCCCAGCCGCTGGCTCCCTTCCTCGTGAGTCCCCAGCCCTGCGGTGTCACAAGTCCTCACCTGTGGTGTCGCGGGGACAGTGGCTGGTGTGGGGACCCTCTCGTGAGGACCTGGAGAGCCCGGGCTCCGGTGCCCTGTGCGTGTGCCCCGCCATCCTGTGACCTGCCACCAAGGGAGGCCCTGGGGCCGACCCTGCACCCTGAGGCCCATCGGGCCACCCTCACGCCCTAGCTGTGCCGCCCTGGGGCGGGCACTTGACCTCTCTGTTCCTATAGGACTGAGTCTCATGGGAGCCGGCCATGCTGACCACTGTGGACACTGAGAGGGGTCCCCAGCTCCCCTGCTCCCCTGCCCGGGCCCAGAGCTGCCCTGGGGGACATTCTGGCTGAGGGGAGTCGCTCTCGACCCCACAGCCCCTCGCCCCGACCCCTGCCATCGAGTGGGGCCGCCCAGCCCGGGCTCCTGCCGTCCAGCCTGTGCCCGTCTTGGACATGGTCCCTCCTGTCCTTGGCCACTCCTGCCTTTGCTGGAAGCCGGGGCTGGTCACGGTCCCCCACCGCTGTCCCCCATTGTCCCACAGCCACAGGGAGAGGAAGCGGGCAGCGGTGGTCCCTGGGGACCCTCGTGGGACTCCTTAGAGGTCAGGGGGCACAGGGGACCCGTGGCACTGGCGGTGGGGGACGTCCCCTTGGCCCCCGTCCTTAGGGACCTGACAGCTGTGGCTTGCACACCTGGTGACAGCGCTCACTCCTGAGCCCCTTCCTCACCTCGGGGACCCCGTGGGGCGTGGCGTCCTTGGCTAAGGAGAGCCTCTGGTCACCGTGGATGGTGACTGCCCTGGTGCCTCCCTCGGGTGGCGGTCCCCGCTGCTCTGGGGGCCATCTCCGTCTCCCCACTGGCCCACGATGCTGCTGGGGACCCTGTTCCTGGGGACAGGGAGGAGGTGATATGACTGTGCCAGCTTCCGGGGCTCGGGGACCCGTCGCCGTCCACCGTGACCTGACCCTGGGGCTGGTGGCTCGTGTGGCTTTTGGTGGCTTCTCTGGCGGCTCAGCTGGCAGTGGCTTCCCTCCATCTTCCCGCGACCCAGACCCATCCCCCGCCGCTGGTCTCGTGTCCTCGATGTGGGCGGGGCCACCGGGTCCCTGGTGGCGCAGGGCCTCAGGTCCAGCCACACCCGTGACGGGGCAGCGTCCTCGGGCCACCTCTCTGCGCCTGGGCGTCCGTCCTGGGGGGAATCTCTGGGAAGGGCCCCGCACCCGGAGCCTCCTCTGAGAGCGTGGGGCCGCCCAACTGCCAGAGAACATTCCAGAAGCTCTAAACTGCCGGGCACCGCCAGGGACCAGGGCTGTCCTGCCCGCGTCGTCGGAGATGGTCACTGGGCTGCTGTGGAGGATGCTCATGGGGCCGTGGAGGGACATCTGATGACGCAGACTTGGGGACAGAGCTCTGCAGGGGCCTGACCTGGGCGGTGAGGCTCAGGAGGTGGGAGGCCGGGGCCAGGGACCGGGGCAGCTCTGTGCCCCTCCCCAAGTCCACCTCCAGGACCCAAAGCCACTCAGCCCGTGTCCCGGGAACCCGAGTCAAACACGCGCGACCGCCCAGTGAACGCGACCCCGTTTCCCTGGGTCCTGGAGGTGGAGACCGCTGGGCCTCAGTCCCCGGCCTCCTGATTGATTTTTTTGTTAGGGTCTCACTCAGTTGCTGAGGCTGGCCTCCAACTGGCAATCCTCCTGCCTCTGCCTCCCAAACCACTGGGATTATAGGCATGTACCACGGCCCTCAGCTAGGAAGCCCCCTGGGGATTGAACCCAGCGGCCCTCCACCATGGGGCCACCTCCCCAGCCCCATTTTGTATTTTATTTAGGGACAGTTATTTAGGGCCTCACTTTTGTTGAGGCTGGCCTCCAACTTGTGATCCTCCTGCCTCAGCCTCCCGAGCCACTGGGATGACAGGCGTGAGCCATTGTGGCCAGCACGAGCCTCATTTTAGAGCTCCAAGTCTCTAGGACATCTGCCCCTCTGCCTGGGAGGGAAAGAGTCACAGTTACATGACATTTGGGACAGTCCCCCTCCCCCCCAGGAAGACACGGGGCAGAGTGGCCTCCTAATCAGGAGGCAGGAGGACCACGTGGCAGCCCAATCTCCGGGAATGAAATCTGGTGACTTCCTGTCCGGGGGCCACCAACTAGATGCTAATCGCGACCCCTCCCTCCACTGCCCGGGCTTGTCGGCAGGCGACGCTGGCCGTTCTGCTGACCAGCTCTGCTCATCTCTGACGCGGGCTCTGGGGGCACCGTCAGGACGTGACGTCGCCCACGTCACACAGGGTCCTCCGAGATCCCAGAGGGATTCTTCCCGCGCTGGCTGCCAGCTGTGAGCCCGGGGCCGTGCGGGTCCCCTGGGTGTCCCCTGTCACGTTGGGACATTTGGATCCTTTTATGATTAGTTTTCTGCTTTGTTCTCCCTGCAGTTCACAAGGGCGCCAAGCCCACCCTGGGGACACCGTGTCCCACCCGTGGGGACGCCACCTGCATAGATTTTTTTTCCCTTTTTTAGTACCAGGGATTGAACTCAGGGACACTCAGCCACTGAGCCCTGTCCCCAACTGTACCTTGTGTTTTATTTAGAGACAGGGCCTCACTGAATTGCTTAGCACCTCTCTCTAAACTGCTGAGGCTGGCCTCCAACTTGTGATCCTCCTGCCTCAGCCTCCCAAGCCGCTGGCATGACGCGTGCACCCCCGCGTCTGGCTTCTGCGTACACTTGTGACTAGTCTTGGTGACAGTTGACGGTTGGCGTGGGCTGGGGGTAGGAGGAAAGGGATGCTGCCCAGGGGTCAAGGGGCAGGCTAGGGGTGACCATCAGAGCCTCCTTTCCTGGAGAGGATGCTCTTAAGGAGAGCCCTGGTTCTTTCTCCCTAGAACATTCTGGAACCTGCTGGTCCCCAGCGTCACAGAGCAGGACCTCTGGGCCGCACAGCCCCTAAGTACTTCCACCTTGTATCCCAAAGGGCCCCTTCCCAGGCCCCACGCCTCCCTCCAGGGTGGAGGACACCCACGCTCACGCCCTGCCGTGTCCCCGCCACGCAGCCAGGCTGAGGGAGGCTGGCCTCGCCCGGTCCCAGGCTGGGCCTTGTCCTGAGCCCTGGACTGCTGGTGGCCGCTCGGGGTCACGCCCCCTTCCACCAGGTCAGTGCCTCCAAGGGCTTCAGGCTCCGCTCAGGGACCCCGAGGAGACCTGCCCGTCTCTGCAATGCCGCTCACTCAGCCTCGGGGACCACTGAGTCCCCTCTCTAGCCTGGGAGCCTGGCTGTGTCTCCCATCAGCCTCGGGCTCAGAGACACAGATTTGGCGTCTGACTGAAACACAGCAGGGGACGCAGGTGCTGTGATGTCCTAACAGGCTGCAGGGACCAGGCCACAGAGTGCGGGCCCCGCAGGGGGCTGGTTCTAGAGGCTGGGCCTGGAGGCTGGGTCTGGAGGCCAGGCAGAATGGGCTGGGCTTTGTCCTCCATCCTCTGAGGAGTGAAGGCCTGAGATCAAGAGTGGCGGTTCGCTCCCTCCTGCAGACGGTCAGTAGAGGAACGCGGTTTTGTGACCGGGCACTGGGCAGAGCGTTAGCTGGCCCCATCCCTCCTATGCACTGGCCCAGAGGAAGTGGTGGGTGCAGGGGAGAGGGGACGGTGGCTCTTCAGAGGTTGGAGGATCTCGAAGGGGAGCCAGACAGCGAGAGCTGAGATGGGTCAGCGGCCCTGGCTCAGGGTGGACCTGGATCCGGGGCCAGGCTCCCTCTGCACCGTCTCTGCCGACCTCCTTCCGGGCCTCACCCCGGCTCTCGCCCAGGCCCTCCCGGGAGCCGACAGTGGACAGTGGAGTCCCGCAGCCCCAAGGGCAGCAGGAACAGGCGGGGCCCGGGTAGACCAGTTGGCCAGCTGTTGAATGCAGGGCGTTCCCACCGCTTGAGTGGCCCCTGTGTCCCCTGTCCTCCTGGGGCCACTTCCACTGAGACCTCCACCCTGCTGCAGGGACCAGAGGGGTCTTCAAGTCCCTTCAGCCCTGGGTTGAGTAATGTCCCGGGCACAGGGTCCCTGGCAGGGGGACAAGAGGTGACACTGGTGACCTGTGTCCACGTCTCCCTTCTGGCCTGTCCCTCGCTGGAAAGCCGTCCACGGGGGACCCAGGGGATGGGGCTTGGGCCCGTCTCCTGGGCTCTTGGAGGGCGCCTCCCGTGTCTCCACGTGGCCCCCACCCTGCCCATCTGTGTCCTGATCTCCTCCCCATTATACCCGTGTCCACCCTCATGTCCCTGTTTTGGGTGAATTGCCTGGTGGAGACCTCTCAGGCCGGCTGCGGTGGCCCACGCCTGTGATCCCAGCTACTTGGGAGGCTGAGGCAGGAGGATCGCACGTTGGAGGCCAGCCTCCGCCACTCAGAGAAGGCCCTGGGGGCGTGTAGAATCCAGGTGGTGACGGAGAGGGACTGAGCGTATTTACTGAGCACCTACTGTGTGCCAGACTGAGTTGCCAACAGCCCCGGGGCCATACCGCTCGTTGTCCCTGTGGGTGGCCGGGATCCACAGGACGCTGCTGCTCAGGGTCTGCGCGGGGGGGACGCCATCGTGGGACAGGGAGCGGGCAGCAGGTGCCGGGCCAACTGGCACCCGGGTCCTCGATGCCCGCTCACAGGACACTTCTCTCCCCCTGCAGCATCGAGGGCGAGGCCCCCAGCAGTGAGACCGGCACGTCCCTGGACAGTCCGTCGGCCTACCACCAGGGCCCACTAGTGCCCGGGGCCAGCCTCAGCCCGGAGCAGTGCGAGCTGACGCCCGGCGCCTATGGGCTGCACGCGGGGCCGCAGCGCCCACGGAGACCCCGGCTGCAGCACTCCACGTCCATCCTGCGCAAGCAGGCCGAGGAGGACGCCATCAAGCGCTCACGGTCCCTCTCCGAGAGCTATGAGCTGTCCTCAGACCTGCAGGACAAGCAGGTAGGTGGGGTGAAGGCCAAACTCCCGAGAGTGGACACCGCGTGCAGACCAGGTGCGCCTGGCCTCCGTCCCTGTGGGCTCCACGGGATCAGAGGGGCCTTCCAGTCCCCTCCAGCCCTATTTTGCATTTTATTTAGACACAGGGCCTCACGGAGCTGCTCAGGGCCTCGCTGTTGCTGAGGCTGCCTTGGAACTCGCGATCCTCCTGCCTCAGCCTCCCGAGCCACTGGGATGACAGGCGTGGGCCACCGCGCCCAGCTAAGAGGCAGCCTCTTGGGGTTGAGGGGGACAGAGGAGTGTCCCTATCCCTGCTAAGATGGTGGGCAGGGTAAGCAAGGCAGCAGGAGGTCCCCTGGGTGTCACAGAGCCCTCCCAGCAGGTGAGGCCCAGCCCTGCAAAAGGGGTCAGTTTAGTTCTGGAAAGGGCCATCAAATCGGGGGAAAGAGCGTGGCTTGCTGGGCATGGTGGGCACACACCTGTCATCCCAGCGACTTGGAGGCTGAGGCAGGAGGATTGCAAATTGGAGGCCAGCCTCAGCAACTTAGCAAGACCCTCAGCAACTCGGCAACACCCTGTCTCAAAATAAAAAGGTAAAAAGGGCTGGGGACAGGGCTCAGGGGTTAAGCACCCCTAGTACCCCAAAAAAGAATAGAAATAGAGTAGCTCTGGGTGGCGGCAGCATCAAATAAAGGGGTGGACGTGAGAACTGGGGATTCCCCAAAGAGGTGACAGCAGCTGCAAAAGTCCCGAGGTACTGAGCTTGGTGTGTGTGAGGAGTGCAAAGGGAACAGGTGGCGCAGAGACAAGAGACAAGGTGACATGCACAGGCACAGAGCAGCCCAGGGTCCACTGAGCTTCCTAGCAAGCAAGGTAAAAACGGGAATCGGCAGATGGCATGAGCACTGCTGGAGGCGAGTGGGTGCTCCATTCCACAAGAGTCTTCATCAGGGGACACGGCACCCGCAGTAGTGAGAGGGGCCCCAGAGAGGTTGAATGTGTCCCCTGACCTCTGGCCCTGTACGCCTTCTGGGGCTTTCCTGTCCCTGAGAGGAGAGCCTGGGTGGGTATCGGGGACTGTCCCCGAGTCTTTGAGAGGTGGCAGTTCTGCTTTGTGGGTGAGCATTCCTCTCGGTTCCTTATTGACACTGTTCCAGAAGTTTCCCTCAGGTGAGTGACAGCCAGAGCCACAGCCCTGGCCACAGGGCCTTCTCTGGCACCTTGTGTCCCCTGCGGGCCGGTCACTCCTCCCTGCCTGCCCGAGAGCCCATGGTCAGTCCCCAGGTTCCAGGACGCAGACTGACCTGGCGGGTTGGCCTGGCCTGGCCCCGTGTGGCCTGCTTGGTGACTCAGTGCAGAGACTGTGTCTGCCTTCTGGAAGTTTCCATCATACACGCACTTGGGAGGAGAGCTGAGGAAGCAGGTGACCACCTGCCCAGGCTGGCAGGACAGGGGCCTGGAGCGCCTGGTGTTTGGGACGTCCCGTCCAGGCCTGGCAGGAGGAGCTGGGGACCCTTGGGCCTTAGCGACCGGAAGGGCTTTCCCAGCGCTTGGCCTCCGGCCTCCAGTGGCCCCAGGATTCGTGGGGTCCCTTGGCAACCCCCAGGACAGGGCTCAGCCGGCTCCCAGGGGTCAGGTGGTGCTCCTGGGTGGCGCCCAGCAGCTCAGAGCAGGAGAGAAACTGTCCCCCCTGCCACCCCGGGTCCTGAGCCCGTCCTCTGTCCACCCCCTCCTGCGGCCCAGGACGGCTGGGCTACCTGCCTTTTGGCCCAGCTCTGGTGCAGGCCGCTGGAGCGGAGGGTCCGTCCCTCTGGGCCTCAGTTTGCCCACCTGCGCAGTGGGTGCTGAGGGTTCACAGAGCAGGCTCAGCTGCGGAGGATCACCAGTTCAAGGCCAGCCTCAGCCACTCAGCTGGGGTCTGGTGTGCCCAGCGCTTTGTACCCACGTCACCCAGGACTCCCAGAGGCCCAGGAGGCAGGTCCCACTTCCCAGATGGGGAAACTGAGGAGCCCGTGGTTCCCTGGGGTAGAGGCAGGGTGACAGCCAGGCACTTGGCCTTGAACCCCAGTGCCCGTCCTCCGTGCTCGGGCCTTCCTGGGGTGTTTGGCATGTGCCCCGACCTGCCTCGGGTCCTTGGCCTCCAGGGCACCGGCTTCACCCCTGCTGGCACCTCTAGAGGGGTTTGATCAGGCTGTGCCCTAAGATGTGCCAGGACCCACGGCATCTGTAACTCAGGCCATTTGGGAACCTCATTGTGGTCTCCTGCCCATGCCTCCCCTTTGACGTGGTGTGACCCCAGAATCCACAGGCCTCCCCCAGCAGTTGTCTGGAGGCACAGTGAGACCCTGGCAGGTCACATTCCTATAGAATCGAGGAAGAGGCTGGCCGCGGTGGGCCCACGCCTGACATCCCAGAGCTGGGGAGGCTGAGGCAGGAGGATCACAAATTGGAGGCCAGCCTCAGCCACTTAGTGAGGCCCTAAGCAACTCCACGAGACCGTGTCTCAAAATAAAACATAAAGAGGGCTGGGGACAGGGCGGCCTCACTCTGTCCTTCCCCCCAGGTGGAGATGCTGGAGCGCAAGTATGGGGGGCGCCTGGTGACCCGCCATGCGGCGCGCACCATCCAGACGGCCTTCCGCCAGTACCAGATGAACAAGAACTTCGAGCGCCTGCGCAGCTCCATGTCCGAGAGCCGCATGTCGCGCCGCATCGTGCTGTCCAACATGAGGATGCAGTTCTCCTTCGAGGGTCCCGAGAAGCTGCACAGCTCCTACTTCGAGGGCAAGCAGGTCTCGGTGACCAACGACGGCACCTCGCTGGGGACCCTGGTGCCCGCCGAGTGCGCGGAGCTGGGGGAGCCGCCCGCCGCGCTGCCGCCCGCGTCCGCCCCATCCGGCGACTTCGCGGACGCCATCACGGAGCTGGAGGACGCCTTTTCCCGCCAGGTGAAGTCGCTGGCCGAGTCCATCGACGACGCCCTCAATTGTCGCAGCCTGCACGCCGAGGAGGCGCCCGTGGCCGAGGTGGCCCGCGCCCGCGACAGCGAGCCGCCCCCGGCCTTGCACGGCCTGGACCCCCATAAACTGGACGAGATGACAGCGTCCTACAGCGACGTCACGCTGTACATCGACGAGGAGGAGCTGTCGCCACCGCTGCCGCTGTCGCAGGCCGGGGACCGACCGTCCAGCGCGGAGTCGGACTCGCGGCTCCGGGCGGGCGGCGCGGCCGCGGACTATTGGGCGCTGGCGACGCCCGAGGAGCGCGCGGACGCGGATGCGGGTGGCACGGCGTCCCTGGAGCGGCCCGAGCCGCGGCTGCGCGCAGGGCGCCTGCCCCTGCTGACCATCGAGCCGCCCAGCGACAGCTCGGCCGACCTCAGCGACCGCTCGGAGCGAGGCTCCCTGCAGAGGTCCGGGGCCTACGAGCGCAGCCGGGTCGGGCCGCAGGGCAGCCCCAAGCGCATGGCGCACGGCGTCAAGGGGACCCGGGATGAGCCAGAGCCCCGCGCCCGGCCGCCGCGGCCCTTGGAGGGCCACCTGGCCATCAACGGCTCGGCCAACCGGCAGAGCAAGTCGGAGTCGGACTACTCGGACGGCGACAACGACAGCATCAACAGCACGTCCAACTCCAACGACACCATCCACTGCAGCTCCGAGTCGTCGTCGCGCGACAGCCTGCGGGAGCAGGCGCTGAGCAAGCCCACCTACCACAAGGAGGCGCGCCACAGCTGGGACTCCCCCGCCTTCAGCCACGACGTGGTGCGCAAGAGGCACTACCGCATCGGCCTCAACCTCTTCAACAAGTGAGGCCCGCAGGGTCGGCGACAGGGCCCGGGGATGGCGCCGAGGGGGAGGGCACGGAGCTGGGGGATGGCAGGGAGCGGGAGGGCACGGGCAACCACCCACGGGGGTCTGGCTTTGCTGGGGGACAGCAGGCGCAGGGACAGGGGCAGCCTGGCCTCCGGGAGGCTGAGTGGAGGGAGGCTGTTCCTAACAGGGCCTCCACAGGCTCTCCTGAAACCTCAGGTTGAGTCGTTTCCATCCCCCCATCTTTGGGGTGCGGGGTCATCAGATGCCATTATGTGTGGCCTCCCTGGGGCTGTGGATGTGGACATGACATGACTGCCCCATCCGGGGACATCAGAGACCTGTCCCCCCATGGGACCTTAAGGACCTGAGTCTTTTCTGTCCATCTCTTACTTTCCTAACTTTCTGGGTAGCTCATATCTCACCAGATGGACCCATGCGAAGGATCCATCCTTAATTGCTTTAAAAAAAAATTCTTGTAGTGGCAGCATCTTGCTGGGTGGCTGAGGCTGGCCTCGAACTCGCCATCCTCCTGCCTCGGCCTCCAAGTTGCCAGATCTGCCAGGCGTATGCCCCACACCCAGCTCTGGATCTCAACGGGGGTCTTTCTCGTTACTAGTTCTCCCTGGGGACTTAGGAGCAGCTCAGGAAGGTGCCTGAGCAGCTCTGCTAGCTGCTGGCCCAGCCTGGAGCTCAAGAGGTGACCGGGGGACACTTGACCCCTTTACGCAGTTGGCGGGGAGGATGGGCAGGCCGGGCTGCAGGTGGCTGCATGTATTAAAGAGGACGAAGGTTGACCCGTCCCTCAGGGGCACTGGTCACCTGGAAGAGGCTCCCGCATCGCGTGCGGGTGGACAGCCCCATCCCTGCAGATGCTCTGGAGCGGGCTGGCCCAGGCCCAGGGGTGAGCCTGCACTGGGTGCGTTTCCGCTGTGCGCGGGCCTCGCTGGCCGGGCCTTGGGTGGCACAGACCCCTTGGCCCTCCAGGCAGTACTCGGGTGGCACAGGGTGCGCACTGGTCCCTGATCCCAGCTCGGCCCTGTCCCACCTCCAGACCAGGTGGCCCCCTCTGCACATAGGCCCTGGGGACAGCTCACCAGGGGATGGCCCGGTCTGGACAGGCTGGCAGGTCCCCTGTGGAGGGCAAGCCACAGCTGGGTGCTGACCCTTGCCCGGGTGGGAGGGCCCACCTGCCAAGGAGGCTGCCAAGGCCAGTGTCCAGATGTCCCCAGGTGCCTAGCCCTTGTCCCTGCCCCTGGCCACACATCTGGCCGGCAGCTTGAGGAGGCAGGGGGAGGGGATCCAGATGTCACCGTGGTCTTGAGCCGGGCCCTGACCCCTGACCATGTCCAGGAGGGGGCTGGCTCTGTCACTGACCAGCCGTGGGACCTGAGCCACAGTGTGGGGACGGCGTGCACAGTGGAGTCGGGCCCCTTCACCGGGGACAGGTCTGAACGGAGAGCAGGAGCAGGTCCGCCCACTCGAGAGAAGGGGCCCAGGGCAGCTGTCAGCACAGTGCTCCACAGTGACCAGCAGGGACCTCGGCCTGACACTCCCGCTTGCCAGTGGCACTGAGGTCCACCCCGGGGCCACTTCTGAGACCCAGGGCACGCGCCTGGCTGTGCTCATCCCGCCCTGGCCTGGTGGCCCCTGGGGTGACAGGGCAGGAGACCTGCTCACACCAGTTTGACCAAAGGCGCTTCCCTGGTCCCCAGCTGCAGCCCTGTCCCCTGGGCAGCAGGGCTACCAGCGGTCTCCAGCCCCTGCAGGAAGTGGGGTCTCTGCCTCTGCAGGTTCCTGCTGGCGCCAGGTCAGCTCCCAGGGCCACTTCCTGTGGTCAGCAGGAAGTGGGCTCTGTCAGGCCTGAAGCCAGGGGTGAAGACAGCCACTGGGTCATGGGACGCAGCTCGCCAGTGGGTAGGGACGCTCCTCGCGGGCAGCTCCGACCTGGACAGGTGCAGGGCCTGCTCTTGCCTGGAGCCTGCCATGGCTCCCTCTTGCCCAGTGGCCCAGGTTAAGTGCCTTAACCTCTCTGTGCCCTTATGGAAGTGTCTGTCCGCTGAGGCTTTTCAGTGGCCCTTCTGTCCACCAGGAACCTTCTTCCTGTTCTTCTTGCTCCTGTTCAGGGCCACCTCCTCAAGCAGCCTCTTCCTGCCTGTCCCTTCGGCCCATCCAAAGTTGACACCTCATCCGGGTCCCTGGGACATCCTGAAATTGGCTCGGCCCGTGGCCAGAGCGCCTCTGAGAGCTGGGGACACGTGCCTTGTGGACAAGCTTGTTGACTCTTCCCAGTGACTGACATGTGCCCCAAGCCAGCCCCAGAACACAGGCACAGAGAGGTTCAGGAACTAGCCCTAGGTCACCCAGCTGGTCGGCCAGACTCGGCCCCTGGGGCCTGCCCAGGACATCAGCGCTGCCGTCCATCCCTGGGTGCTTGGATCGTTCCTCCCTCCTTCGTGTCACTCTGATGAGGATGTCCCCTGGCACCATGCCTGGCCCTCAGCAGGTGCTCGGGTGACCAGTAAGGGAGGCCGCAGGGGTCGCGCTGCCGTCCCTAGGAGTGGCACATGCGCTCTCCGCTCACCGTCCAGTAGTCAGGGCTGGCCCACCGCTCCCGCCCTGGACAGGGGTGGGACAGTGCGGCTCTGTGACAGGAAGAGGCCGAGGGGACTGGGTGGCAGCCGTGGCTAGTGCTGTGGGACACGTGCGGAACCTGTGAGGTGTTTGTCCCTTGGGCACAGAGCACGGGGCTCTGCAGGGACAGTGGGCGAGGAGGTCTGCGCTGGACAGGGAGCCTCCTGTGGGAGGGGACACCAGCAAGGTCCCCGGACAGGGGATTCACCCTGGAAGTGTCTGGGGCACTGGCTGCCACCACCAGGGCCACACTCTAAGGCTGGTCCCCTCAGCAGGACGCCGTTCAGGGCTCTGCCCTGCCTCTGCAGCCCGTGTCACCTGCCATCCGCCCGCGGGATCTGTCCTTCCTGCCCTGGGCTGGGGCCACCTGGGATGGGGACTCGGTCCCTCCTGCCCACCCGGCCACCCACCCCTGCACTCACACGCGTGGGTGCACACAGACGCCCACCTGCCAACATGTGCTCTCCGCTGTCACCAGGTCCTAAGTCCCTTCTCCTCCCTCCTCCACGGGCCACCCTGGAAACCACAGGGGCCACCAGCTTGGCTCCGGCCGGGGCCTGGCCCTGGGTCTCGGCAGCCACAGGCCCCGTCTCAATGTGGAAACGGACCCTTCACTCCCCAGAGCTGAGCTCCTGGTCTCCCACGAGGAAGCCGGCACCTGCTCTGGCCTGGCCCACCATGGCCCTGCCCTCCCCTCCCCCAGGCCCCACGACAGCTCCTGGGGTCACCGGTCCCATACCCACCCCAGGGCCTCTACCCACAGTTCCCAGCCACTCCTGAGCCTGTCCCTTGGTCCCTGCTCAGAGGGGGCCTCTCTGCTCCCCCTGCCTGCTCCTCAGGGGCTTGACCCCACCCCCTTTCCCATTGTGCCCTGAGCCACCCAGGACAGAGGGACTGGCGCTCACGTCCCCGATGCTACAGGGGTCTGCAGGGGAATGTGGGCGTGTCCCCAGGAGGGGAGGACGCTGGGCCCTGCCGGGCACCCTGTTAGCACCCAGGAGGGACCAGGTGGTCCCGGCCCTGAACAGCTGTGGGGCAGGGTCACCCCGTGGCCCCTCTCTGTAAGCCTCCTGGGGACGGGTTTCCCGTGTGTGGCCGTCCTGGGGCACAACAGCACAGCCACCTGGAGGCCAGGAAGTGGCTTCCTGCTGTCCCCGGGAGCCGCACACACCACCGGCGAGGGAAGCGGCCTTCGACTCTGTGGCCACCCAGGGGACAGCAGAGCCCTGCACTCCGCCCACCTGGGTGGCCGCCCCAGGACCTCGGCTGGTGGGCAGTGGGAGGGATGTCCTCGGGGCCAGGGGGTGTGGGGGCCACACCAGCCCCTCGCAGATGGTCGTCCCCAGCGGGCATCAGCTGCGTGATGGCCTCGGCGACTCGCATCTGGGGACAGAGAGCCAGGCTGGCCCGAGGGCCCCACCCAGCGGGGACACCATGTAGCTCCCCGAGAGCCCGCAGCCCCCCAGCCCATGCACCCTCCGGGGTCACGTGTGGCCCTTCCCAGTGCCTCACACCACCTTGTCTCCTGTGACCGTGCTGCCCCTTAGCCAAGGCCAGACCTGCCACCTCGGGAGGCTGTGGGCCAGAGGAGGGGCGGCCAGCGGTGTCCTATGGCCCACCTGGACCCCCTGGCCCTGCCCACAGCCACCAAGCCCCAAGCCCCGTCCCCAGCCCTTTTTATATTTTATTTAGATACAGGGTCTCGCTGTGTGGCTGAGGCTGGCCTCCAGCTTGCGATCCTCCTGCCTCAGCCTCCCCAGCTGCTGGGATGACAGGCGTGGGCCACGCCTTATGGTGCTTATTCAGGGCGCATCCCTGTGGCCTGAGGACTGCCCAGGGCTCCTGACGGTGGTAGATGTTGTGCCCCGCGTGTGCCTTGGATGCTGAGCTCAAGGAGTGGGGATTCGGGGAATTGGTAGACAGCTATGGGGACAGGAAGATGTCACTGTCACATGTTGGGTTGTTGGGTTTGGGTGTCCCGCAGCAGCTTCCTGGCCAAGGGGTGCAGACACCTGGACTGTGCTGGGCGACTCTGGGTGTGTGCGGGTGAGGCCGCGACGTGGGGTCACGCTCCAGCACCCCGGAGTGTCCCAGGGCCACCCCAGGCCTGGTTCAGTGCTGGCTGTCACTCTGGTCTCGACTCTATGGGCAGGACAGCGTGGCAGGAGCCCGTGGGGGCAGGAGGCAGGAGGTGGCCGTCCCCTCCAGTGGCTGAGCCTGCTCTCGTCCCCAGGAAGCCTGAGAAGGGTGTGCAGTACCTCATCGAACGCGGCTTCGTCCCCGACACCCCCGTGGGCGTGGCCCACTTCCTGCTGCAGCGCAAGGGACTCAGCCGCCAGATGATTGGGGAGTTTCTGGGCAACCGGCAGAAGCAGTTCAACCGCGACGTGCTCGAGTGAGTGGCCGGGGACCGCTGGCACGTGGGGACGCAGACCCAGGCCCAGGGCATGTGCTGTCCCTGCCGTGTCACCACCCCGGGACATGCACACACACGGGAGTCCCCCGGTGTCCTGGGCGCTGCTTCCCGACCCTGCAGTGGCAGGATCCCGTGCTCAAGTCCCTACGTCAGGTGCCCTGGGGTTGGCGTGGCCTCCTGCCTGGCCTGAGGTGGTGGGCAGACTGCACAGAGAGCCCCCAGGTCTGTCCCTGGTCCCCACGGGCACAGTTGGGTTTTGTTGTTTTTGGGGTTTTTCGGTCACTTAACCCCTGAGCCCCGTCCCCAGCCCCTTTTTAGATTTTATTGAGAGACAGGGTCTCGCTGAGTTGCTCAGGGCCTCACTAAGTGGTTGAGGCTGGCCTCCACCTTGCGATCCTCCTGCCTCAGCCTCCCGAGCCCCTGGGATGACATGCGTGGGCCACTGCTCAGCTCAACACGAGCAAAGTTTTTTGTTTTTCTTTGGTTTTAATATTTCGGGTCCCTGGCCGGTCAGATCTGGGGACTCAGGGCTCACTTGCCTTCCTTGGTCCTCCACACACCCTGCCGGGCGTGCCCATGGGTCTTCCACTGACCCCTCGCCTGCCTCCCTCCTGCACCCTTGGCCTGACTGTCCACCTAGCCCTGGGGGGTCCCCGCCCTCGAGTGACAAGATGAGGACCTCCGGGCACCTGCCGCTTCAGGTCTGGGCCCCAGCTCTGGCTGGGTGTCCCGCATCCAGTAGAGACCGGTGTCCCTGTTGGTGTGTGCCTCATGTCCCTGGGAGCAGTGGCCTGCTGTGTGTCACAGCAAGACATCGAGGCTTGGAGGGAAGGGCTGGCCGGGCACCCCAAGCCCACACCACCACGTGGCCTGCAGCTCTCGTGGGACGCACCCCACATTCCCTCTCAGCCCATGGGGCCCTCAGTGGCCCCTGCATCTGGCTCTGCCTGCTCCTTCAGCCAGGGACCTCCAGTGTCACCTGCCATGGTCATTGTCCCTCTCGCCCCTTTCCGACAGCGGGAGGGAGGAAGCGGCGCAGGAAGAGCAGATGGCCCCTGGTGAGGGGCTTGGGCGCCACCCGCCATGTCCCTGCTGCCCCCCGGCTGGCTCCTGGCCAGGGGAAATCCGGCCATTGTCCTCCTGTCAGAAAATAGCAGTGGCTTCAGGAAGCCGCGAGGCTCCCACCACCGCCCGGCCTCGTCGAGGCCAGCAGCGCCCGGCTCGCTCCCTGCTGTCCCTCTGCAGCCACAGCCACCCTGAGGGTCCCGCCCAGGCTGCCCGGAGGTCGGGGACGCAGCCACACTGATGGCCGTCCCCAGTGCAGGAGGACCTGGGAGCAGGGAGCAAGTCCTTGGTGGCCCAAAGGCCTGCAGCCCGGTGGCGGTGACTGTGGCCACAGCCCCATTAGAGGTGGCCACACACCTGAGCCCAGTCGTGGGAGATGCCACCACCCATGGGTGCAGAGCCCCCCTGGCCCGTTTGGGGGTCACCGTGGCTGGGCTGCAGGGCGGCCCTGGGGGCAGGGCTGTGGCCAATCAGGCCACCCACCAGCTGGCCCCTGCCCACCCCACCACCCACGGGCCCTGTGGTGAGAGCCAGTCTCCAGGGAGTGGCACTGTGACCGTGCCCGAGGGACACAGGGCAGCTCCCCCACAGGTGGCCCTGCTGGCCACGCGGGAGGGACTGGTCCAGAGTGGCCGTGGGCCCCAGCCTCCTGGTTCAGGGGTCACAGGCTACCAGGGCTGCAGTCTTTCTGGAAGGTTCTGAATGCGACCTGCCCGCAGCCTGTCCCAGGCCCAGGGAGAGCCTCACGCGGCCCGGGCGTCTTGCGTTGCAGCTGCGTGGTGGACGAGATGGACTTCGCTGCCATGGAGCTGGACGAGGCCCTCAGGAAGTTCCAGGCCCACATCCGGGTCCAGGGCGAGGCCCAGAAGGTGGAGCGGCTCATTGAGGCCTTCAGGTGGGGCCCGGGGCCCTCCGTCCCCTGCACCGTGGCCGGGGTGGACCCTGCTGCCCGCCTGCGTCCAAGCTGCTGCTGGGGCCCCTGTTCCTCCTGAGGGGACCGTGTCTGCCCCAGATCTGCACCTGAGGACTCCGGAGCAGAGGACGGCGGAGACCCCCCGCTGGGTTGTCGCATCTCTGAGTCCTGGGCACGTCCCCCTCTGGTCCTCTGCGCACTCCTTCTCCCGGGAGCAGCTCCCCCAGTGGCTCCTCCCCCAGCCCTTGTGACAGTGGCCTGGTTCCCCGTCACCCTGCTGCCTGCTGTGTGACCCCAGGCTGCTGGCTTGCCCACTCTGGGCCTCACTCCTCACCTGGGCACCTGGGACAGCACAGCCCTGCCCTGGAGACGGAAGCCGAGGAGTCCAGTGCCTGGGGCTCTTGGGGACACCTAGCCCTGCAGCCCACTGGGCTTCCTGGGACCCAGGACCAGGCTGGGAGGGGCTTGAGGACAGTCAGGGCCAGCGGTGGCAGCCAGTGTCCCCCCAGTTCCGGGGAGGGTGGCGCGCGTCCGGGGGCCCTGACCGGCTTTCGTCCCCAGCCAGCGGTACTGCATCTGCAACCCCGGGGTGGTGCGCCAGTTCCGGAACCCGGACACCATCTTCATCCTGGCCTTCGCCATCATCCTGCTCAACACGGACATGTACAGCCCCAACGTCAAGCCCGAGCGCAAGATGAAGCTGGAGGACTTCGTCAAGAACCTGCGAGGTGAGCCGCTGCCACCACGGGCCACCCCTGGAAGCTCCCGGGTGCCAGGGTCCCCAAGTGGTGTGTGAGCTGCAGCCCGGCCCGGCCCCCTGGCCAGTCCCAGGGAAGGAACCCAGGGCGCTAACCACTGAGCAGCACCCCAGCCCATTTTTATTTAGAGACAGGGCCTCACTGAGTTGCTGAGGCTGGCCTCCACCTGGCGATCCTCCTGCCTCAGCCTCCCCAGCTGCTGGGGTGACAGGCGGGCATCGCTCACGGAGCTACTCTCTAAACCAGAGCTCCGGCACCCCTTCCCCTGCGGCCAAGGATTCCCCTGGGCACGGTGTCCCTCTGCTCCGGGGTTTCTGCTGGGGTTTAAGGCGTCCTTGCCTGCCCCCTGCTGGCTGTGGCAGGAAAGGCCACGGGATTCCCCAGACAAAGGCCCCCAGGCTGAGGGCTGGGGAGGCCACCGAGGGGCTGGCTGCTTCTCCCAGGGCCTCTTCTTGGTGGCATGGGGACACCGCCCAGGTCCCAGCCCTCAGCTCTCACCAGGGGACGGGGACAGCCAGGCAGGCCAGGCAGCCCTGTTCAGCGTCCCCTTCTGTGACCCAGGGACCTTCAAGCTTCTTGCTTGGGGTGGAGCAAGGCAGCCCCTAGGAGGCCCAGTGAAGGCAGTTGGTGGCCCGTCCCCTTGGTGTGTCCTCACCAGCCAGGCTGCGCTGGCCTGCTCCTGAGCTGCGTCCTGGGGACCCCGCTCTGCAGGGGACGCAGAGGGCGCCCTGCTGACCCGTATGGAGACGGGCAGCCCCGGGCGGGTGGGCGAGGCCTGGGGCAGTGCAGCCTCCCCAGCCCCCACCGCTCTGACCTGGGCCGTGTCCCGTCCAGGGGTGGACGACGGCGAGGACATCCCCCGGGAGATGCTGATCGGCATCTACGAGCGCATCCGGAAGCGGGAGCTCAAGACCAACGAGGACCACGTGTCCCAGGTGCAGAAGGTGGAGAAGCTCATCGTGGGCAAGAAGCCGGTGAGTGGCGCCCCCAGGTGACCTGTCCCCAGCCCACCCTGCTCTGCTGCAGGGGCCTGTGGGTGGTTCTAGCCGGGCACTTCTTTTCTGTAGAACCAGGGATTGAAGGCGGGGGCCCTCGACCCCTGAGCCTGTCCCCAGCCCCTTTTGATATTTTATTTAGAGACAAGGCCTCGTTAAGTGGCTGAGGCTGGCCTCCACCTTGCCATCCTCCTGCCTCAGCCTCCCAGCCACTGGGATAAGAGGTGGCCACAGTGCCTGGCTGAGGCTGGGAATGTGGTAGTAGCCCCTGGCACTTGGGCCTCGTAGCCGTCTGCTGTGCGCTGTAGTTGACAACAGGAGGCCACCAACAGTGGTCAGGCTGCGTTGGGGCTCAACTGTGCCCTACCCTGGTGGGACACGGGGGATCTAAATCGCCTCCCACCGGGTGCCAGAGGGCTCCCCTTGGTGGCGCCAGGGCATGCCGATGCCTCGGGGTTGGGGGGACTCAGGCTCCTTGCTGGTGGCCCTGTGCTCCCCGGGCCAGGTGGCCTGCGCAGCACTGAGGGCTCTTCCTGCCGTTTGCTGTCCCCGCAGATCGGATCCCTGCACCACGGGCTGGGCTGTGTGAGTACCCGGCCTCCGCCTCCGCCCCGGGCAGCCTCCCCTGGCCCTGCCGACCCCACCAGGGCCAGCTCCCAGAGCCCAAGTTCCAGCTGCTTGACATGTTTCCAGAGGGACCCGGAAGCTTTGGCTCGACTGCCCAGCCTGTCACCTCTGCTCACGGGCCATGGTCGCACCCAACAGGGGACCCCCCTAGTGCAGCCTCTGCCCCCTCTCTGTCCCCCTCCCCACAGGGACCAGGGGACACAGCTGTGGCTGACCCCACGCCCCCAGAGAATCCAAAGAAGGTCTCAGCAGCTTTGGGGACACATCCTCAGGGGAGCCCGAGACCAGGGGACACAGCAGGTCCCCAGGATAGAGTGCAGCCAGGGCCCCTCTGCCCAGTGGGACCGGGCCCGCAGGCCGGGTGCGGTGGCCTGGGAGGCTGGCGGTGACGGTGGCCTGTCCCCAGGTGCTGTCCCTGCCCCACCGGCGGCTGGTGTGCTACTGCAGGTTATTCGAGGTCCCCGACCCCAGCAAGCCACAGAAGCTGGGCGTGCACCAGCGGGAGATCTTCCTGTTCAACGACCTCCTGGTGGTACGTGCCGCCCGGGCTGGCCAGCGCGGGCAGGGGGCCTCGGACTTGCGCCCACCTGCTGGGGACCTGGAGGGGGCGTGGCTCTGGGTCTTCTGTGACAGGTCCCACCCAAGCCGGTGCCCGTGACAACAGTGACCTAGGCCCAGGGGACGGGGTGGGCTGTGTCCAGGGCTCCCGTCACCTGGAGGTGGACAGGGCAGGTGGGTGGGCACCCCAGGACGTCTTGGGTGGTCCCCGAAGGTCAGGCCTTGGCTGAGTCCTGGCCGCCCGTCCCTGTCCCCGGGCGTCAGACCCCAGATGCACACGCCTCACGTGGCGAGGAGAAGCCCCAAGGGGACTGTGCCTGGGGACATGCCTGCCACCTCGCTGCCACCTCTCTGCGGCGGCTGCCCCTGCCATGCCTGCAGGTGCCACAGCTGCGCTCTCTGCTGTCCCCAGGTCACCAAGATCTTCCAGAAGAAGAAGAACTCGGTGACGTACAGCTTCCGACAGTCCTTCTCCCTGTGCGGCCTGCAGGTCCTGCTCTTCGAGAACCAGTGTGAGTGCCCGGCCGCGCCTGCCGGGAGGCGCTCTCCCCCGTCACCTTGAGGCCAGGGCCCAGGGTGGGTGGCAGGGCCACTGTCCCTGGGAAAGCAGAGCAGCCCTGGACATGGGCCCTGGGGTCGACTTGATGCCCATTGGGGGCCATCCTCACGTCACCCCACTAGCACCCCATCCCTGAAGGGTGACGATAGCCCCTGCACCCTGGGTGGGGACCAGACCTGGCGTGGCCCTGGAAGTGACACCCCAGGGGCCCGAGGCTGTACATGCTGGACTACGGGTGCTGGCCGGGGCCACCCTACCGTCACCACAGGAACACCCCCCTCTAGGGCCCAGGCTGGCAGGCACCTGGGTCAGCCCCCAGCCAAGCACGTTCTATGTGCCAAAAGAAGTACCTACAGAGCACGGCGGGTGGCCCAGCCGTCATCCCAGCAGCTCAGGAGGCTGAGGCAGGAGGATGGCCAGGTGGAGGCCAGCCTCAGCCACTTAGTGAAGCTCTCCGTAGCTCCGCGAGACCCTGGGGGGTGGGCAGTGGCTGGCTTTTCTGGGGGATCAGAAGGCTTGGTGTCACTCAGCGGCCATTGTCACGGGCCAGCAAGGGGCTGCCACGACGTGGCTGTACTTGTGCCACGCGCACACATGCTCACATCCCTGCGCACACCCGGGTGATGGGCACCCGCCCCTGCTCAGCACCCCTCCTCTGTGGACTTGATACTGGGCACCGTGACCGAGGTCCCCTGAGGAAGGGTCCCCTCTGGGACCTTCAGGCTGGAGAGGCGGAAGGCTGTGGGGGGTGACCACCCCAAGTCGGGAGCCGAGACTGTCCCGTGCCTGATCCTGCCGCCGCCCAGAGGCCCAGCCCTCACACCCTCCGGGCCCCGGGACCTTCCTGGCCAGGCCAGGGGACCTGGTGCGCAGGACACCTGCCCCACAGCGTGGCCCTCTGTCCTCCGCAGACTACCCCAACGGCATCCGGCTGACGTCGGCCGTCCCCGGGGCCGACATCAAAGTGCTCATCAACTTCAACGCGCCCAACCCCCAGGACCGCAAGAAGTTCACCGATGACCTGCGGGAGTCGGTGGCCGAGGTGCAGGAGATGGAGAAGCACCGCATCGAATGTGAGTCCCCCAGGGACCGCACGGGGCAAGGCTGCCGGCCACCCCCAGCCCCTGCAGGCCCGGCCACCCCACCAGGAGGCACCCAGGGGCCAGCGCCAGCCTCCTGCTGGGTTCGTGGCTGAACACAGCTCTGGGGTCGAGGCCAGCGGCCTCCTCTTGATTGGACCTGCCAAGCGCTGGGTCACCGCCAAGGCCATCCCCGGACTCCAGGCCGGACTGACTTTTTTTGGTACCAGGGATTGAACCCTGGGAGCTGAACCTCTGAGCCGCGTCCTCTTCCTATTCCTGTTTCAGTTTCTTTCCGTGTGGCTGTGGGTGGACACGGCACCTTTATTTTATTTTAAAAATATTTTTTTAGTCATAGATGGATGCAATATGTTTATTTTGTTTATTCATTTTTATGTGGTGCTGAGGATCGAACCCAGTGCCCACCACTGACCCATGTCCCCAGCCCTATTTTATATTTTATTTGAGACAGGGCCTCCCTAAGTTGCTGAGGCTGGCCTCCAACTTGCGATCCTCCTGCCTCAGCCTCCCAAGCCACTGGGATCCCAGGCCCTGTGCCCTCTAGGTCTCCTCTGTGCTCACAACTCTCTCTGAAGGGCCCCACTGAACCTAGGCTCATCTCCCAGAGCCCAGCCAGCCCTGGCCTCACTGCCCCCAAGCCGGGCACAAGCCCTTCTGTGCTGCAGGTCACAGGAGAGTGGCTTCTCCGTCACCCTCTGGGGGTCTCCTTTCTGCCCAGTGCCATGCTGACGGCCATCCCTTCCAAAGACGGGCCCTCCCTACCCTGGTGAAGCTGGCCAAGCAGAGGGTGGTGGGTGCCTGTCCTTGCTCCCCGGGCTGCCATACTGTGCTGGGCTGCTCTGACCGGGTGCTGACCCTCTCTGTTGCAGCGGAGCTGGAGAAGCAGAAGGGTGTTGTGCGGCCCAGCATGTCCCAGTGCTCCAGCCTCAAGAAGGAGCCGGGCAACGGGGCGCTGGGCAGGGCCTGCCTGGACGACAGCTACGCCGGCGGGGAGGGCCTCAAGCGAAGTGCCCTCAGCAGCTCCCTGCGCGACCTCTCAGAAGCGGGTAAGGGCCCAGCGGCCGTCCCCCTTCCCAGCCCGCTGCGTGCCACGCTGAGCCCTGGGCGGCCGCGGTCGGTATCCAGGAAGGGCCTGCCCGGGGCCTGCGAGGAGTGCTCCGGGGTTCGTCCCGATTGTCCCCAGACCCGAGTGACCGCTGACCACACAGAGAGGGCATCCTAGACAGACCCTAGAGGGCGCAGGACGGGCGCAGGTGGGAGGGGTGGCTGGTGGGGCCCGGATGCCGCCCTGTCCTCCTCCTGGGGTCCAGCTGACCCTGCTCCCTTGAGACCCGCTCTGGCCAAGCAGGCAGGCCACTGTCCGCGCGCTGTGCTGCCCTCTGTGCCGGGTGCTCGCGGGGGCGGGGGGCGGGGATCCCCGCTATCTCTGTCTTGCTTTCCCGACGGGGACCTCTGTGCGGGACGCCCAGACCCCTGTGGGACACAGAGCTGGTGGCGGGCGCGCCAGGCCCAGGGCCACGGGGAGCCTGGGGACACTTGGGGTGTGGCTATGGGGCGCTGGCCACCAGCCGGTCCCCTGCTCGTGGCACCTCGGGCTCCCAGGGGTCCTCTGGTCAGCCGGCTCGGGGTGACCGTGTGCTGAGTGGCCTTCTGTCCTTTGCTGTCGTCTGTCGTCATTTTTCGTGGTGAAACCTCAGAACTCATCGCAGCATGAGGCCGGGCCAGGGCTTCTCAACCCGGTCGGCTGACCCCGGGCAGGGCTCCTGGCCGTGGCCACGTTGGGCCTGGCAGGGGTCAGGAGTGTCCCGGCCTCTGCCACAGGACAGCTGTCCTATGCCCTGCGTGGGGACCACAGAGCCCCCCGGGGCCGTGGGGGCAGAGCCACCCTGGGTTGAGAACCGCTGGCTTGGCCAGTGGCCGTGTCCACCCAGCTCCACTCTGGGGACTGCTTGGGGCACCCGTAGGCCGCGGCCCGGCTCCGGGTTCCCGTTTGTGCAGGGCTCAGCCGCCCTCCCCGCCCGACGCCCTGGCCAGGCCCCACTCCGGGCCCAGCGGTCACCAGCACAGCTGCCCATTGTGTGCCTGTGCTGAGAGATCAGCCAGTCCCCTGCCCGGGTCACCTCCACGAGAGGACAGAGGGCAGCCGCCGTCAGCTTGTTCCTGTGGTCATTGCTGTGGCCTCCTGAGCTGAGGTCGTGAGGCCCCTGGCCTGTGGCACTTGACCAGCCGGGACAGATCCAGGACGGGATGCGAGTGTCCGGGCCCAGCCTGCGTCCAAGGCACCAGCAGAGGCCACCTGTGCCATCCAGAGGGACAGCAGTGCGGGCCGGAGATGCCCTTGGAGCCGCTAGGGAGGAAGATGAGCTGCGGGCGGCTGGGGCCTCATGGAGCCAAGCCTGAGCCAGTGACAGCAGGACGCGCCGCAGAGCAGAGGAGAGTCCTTGGGGACAGCCTGTGGCCACCGAGAGCAGGGGACCGAGCTGCCACGCATATCCACCCAGGAGATGGCCGGGCCTGGCCTCGCCCAGTGTGAACCTGGGGCGCCCACGAGGTGGCCAGTGTGGTGCCTGGGAGGCCTGTCCACAGCCACGTCGGGTGCCTGTCACTCACCTGGCCCCTGTTGGCCACGTGGCGCCTGTGTTTTCTGTAGCCCGAGCTGGCTCCAGGCCTGGTGGGGCTGGGGGTCCACCTCAGGGCGGGGAGACCGGGCCTTGGCGCCCGCGCCCAGAGCAGCCATGCTGTGGAGGACACGATCGGGGCCTCCCCACGAAGAGGACATCTCTGGGGTCGCAGTGGCTGACCCCAGGCACCCTGCCCTTTACCAGCGCAGCCCCATCAGGGAGAGCTGGCCACCCACGGCCACTGGTGTCAGGTGGCCGAAGCCACATGAGGCACCTGGGGCGGAGCCAAGCCTCCCTTTGCCCCACAGGACATCCAGCAGGGCCTCGGCACTGTGTCCCCTCTGCCTGCCACTCCAGCTCTGTCCTGTCACGTAGGGTCGCCCAGAGGGAGGCGCAGGAGGAGGCTTGTCCCCTCACAGGTGGGGAAGTGGAGGCCAAGCCGTGTAGCCAGGGGCAGGGCTTCATGTCCTGGACACTGAGGTGGGCAGGGCGCAGGGCCATCTATCTACAGGTGGACTCCTGTCACCCCAGGCACCCACCTGGCGCTGGGGCTGGCCTCCCAGCCTTGGGACTCCCTCCCGTCTGCAAAGCATTGTGGCCCGCGCCCTGAGATGCCCACAGCACTGTCCCCACCCTTTCTGGGTCCCTCTGGCCCTGCGGATCACCTCAGAAGCTGGCACAGAGACTGCCAGGGCCCTGGCACAGCTTGACCTCGCCCGCTCAGAGGCCCTGGAGCCAAAGTGGACACCGTGCATTTCTGCAGCGTCCCTGGCGGAATGGAGCCCGTGGGTCCCACCAGGGCCTTGGTCCCCTGCTCTCTGACATGGACAGAGCGCCATCACAAGGGTCACGTGTCCAGCGTGGTGCTTGACTCGCGGCCGGTGCCACACACAGAAGCACTTCGTGTCCCTGGCCACTCATTGACCTGGCTCCCAGAGGCTTGGGACATCCTGCAGGAAGCCTGGGAGAGGTGTGTCCCTGGAGCAGCTGGACTTGGGCCTCCAGTGCCCCTTGGAAGACTCGGCTGTCCCTCCTCAGCCACACCTGCTGAGCATCCACTGGGTGCCCCGGGCTGGGGACGTGCCAGGCACATGGGGGACAGAGGCCTCTCGGCTGGGAGCAGGCTTTGCAGCACCTGGACAGGGCGCCGGGGACCGGCCGGCCGCAGGAGCGTCAGTCCCCACCGCTGGCCAGCGGCCTGCACAAACCCGAACTCGGCTGGGCCAGGAGTGGCCGCACCGGGATGTGGGGGATGCCGACCTGCGCGTGCGCACTGGCTCCCAGAGCTCCGCGCAAAACCCGGCGCTGGGCGCGGCCACCTGGGCCCAGGCCTGTGCCCGCAGGACCCCGAGGTCGGCTGGCTGCAGACCCCCTTCTGTCCCTCCTGGGGCGCCCCAGCGCTGTCGAGAGACCCCCTGTCCTGGCCCAGGCCGGCAGGTGCAGCCCGCCGGCTCAGCTGCGTTGCTAGGGCGGTGGCGGCCAAGGTGTCCCTGGCAGGCGGGCAGGCGGCGCCCGGCCGGTGCCTGTGGTGTCTAACCTCTGGTATTGCATGTTCTGGGCAGGGAAGCGAGGGCGCCGCAGCAGTGCAGGATCGCTAGAGAGCAATCTGGAAGTAAGTAGGAAAGACCCCGTCCAGCCGGCTGTCCCCTGTCGCCTCCCGCCCCGGTTTCTCTCTGTTGTCGTTTTTTCCTTTTGGCTCCCCCCACAGAGACGCGGCCACGGCCCCTGCCTGCCTGGGCCCCTGCATGCGGCCTCTGCCCGACTGTCCCCGCGGCTCGCGCTTGCCCACGGTGGGGGGGCTCGGAGGTGGCGTTTCTGTTCCCGCTTCTCCCCATCCGTCCCCGTGGTCCCCCCGCATGGATCACCCGTCCCGGGCGCCCGCCCCGTGGTGTCTGTCTCTGGCTTGGCTTCGCGCTCCATGTCATCGCTTCGTCGCGGAGTGTCGCTGGCCGCGCCGCGGCGGGACGTGGGCTTGCTTAGCTAGCTCGGGGGCCCGCGGGCTGCGCGACAGCGACAGCCGGCCGCTCTGGCCTGGCGGGTCCTTTCCTCCCGTCCCCACCCCTGCTTGGTCTGCGAGTAGGTAGCGACAGCCAAGGGCCTGGGCAGGCCACGCCCCCAGGACGAGGCCCCACCCGTCCCCGCGGCCACCTCCCCGATCCCCTGCAGGGGCGCGGCCCCGAGGTCCCCGGGAGCGGAGGGCGGCG